ACAGTTTTGCTGCGCTCCAAAAAAATCATAATTCATTCATATACATACTCTTAGGAGTACGCCCTGGCATTCGTACATATATCCACTTAGTCATCTGGAATTCCCCCCAGCAACAACAACAACAACAACAGCCCCCCCTCCTCCAACAACAACAACTCAATGAAATGCGAGCCAGAATTAATTCATAATGAGGAGCCAGGAATTCTTTTGGTTGTTGCATGCCCGTACTCCTGAGGAATGGCGTTGCCCTGATGGGCCATTTGACAACATGCGATATTTAATTGGGTTTTAATATACATTACATACACACAGGCACATCGACTCACCGACTCTTCGACTGGGGGGTACATTTTTGAAATATAAAACTAAAACCTAATGTAATCCAGCCATGAAGGCGATGCGATAAGCTATACCCCAGCCCAGGGACTGCGACCAGCAGTAAATCCACCCAAAATGGATCGGATTTGTACGTGGGAGGGGGTTCAAAATATTATAATTAATATATGTATGTGCTTTTACCTTGTTGGTAATCCCATTAGGAAGCTCAAAGGAGCGTGCAACTTAATATCAAATGTAATTCAACTGCAAAACAAGTTTTTTGTACAACAAGGGGGAGTCCCTTTTGGGGAGTGTTCCTTATTGAAAGGAAAATGAGAGTGCACCTTCCATGATGAGTGCACGTAAAAAAGTTTGCACAGAAATTTCATTAATTTTCCCATTTGCACCCTCACACATCAGCATTTATCTAGCCTCCAGGGTCCGGGCATTATAAAAGTCCACTCATGGAGTCCGTGGCCACAGAAATGCACCGCACAAAATGAGCAAAATGAACAAAGGAATTCAGTGTCATTCAGTGGCCTGTAATCGATGCGAATCGATGTTTTTACCATTGATTGCTCAATCGCCCATTTCATTTGCGTTTAATTTTTCGCCCCGGGCTTCCATTGAAATTCAATTTCCATTCAGATTCAGATGGGAATTGTTCATTTGTCACACAGAAAGACGGTTAGTAGAATGAAGGTGGAGAAGAGTTTAAAAATTAATTCGCAAAAACCATCTAGCGCGAATTTTTTCTGTGATTTATTATTCATGCGACTTTATTTATAAATTACGCTAAAAGCAAGTAAATCCTTTGAATTTATTTCAATGAGATAATACAAATATGTTTTGGTTGAGAGGAGTTCCTAAAAACTGGCAAAAGTGTGCGCGTAGTTTATATTCATTAATTTTTTTCTGCTAATCCCTGGCTAAACCATTAGTTTCAGTTTGTATAGTGTCTGGCATTAGAAAATTAATTGATATGAAAAATGGGAATTAGTCAATGTGCAATAATTGGATTCGTTTGCTCATGATTAAGAGCCAGTTATGGGTATGCATAGAAATGTTTCATTCGAAAAGGTTCTAGAATTACACTCACATAATTTGGCAGAGATATTCCCCTCAAAAGAGGAAATTGATTAAATTAGCAATTGATTTATCCGATCGGATTGATTTAAGCCAGCTCCCAGATTGGGAGAGCGAACCTTCGAGTATCATTAACATAGTCAAGATGAAATGATTAGGTCCCACAGGGATTATCAGTGCAACAATTGACAACTATTCAAGTACTTCTAAAACACAAAATATGTTCTTGGTGTTGGCATATCCCTTTAAAATCAATTAATCCAGGCCAAATCGATTTAACCAAATAGAATTGAATGGAATGGAATGGAACGAGGGTACTTCCAGTTGATGGAATCATTGATTTTTATCCCGCGACTGGATTAGGACTGGATGATTGTGCGGATTCAATTTGGTGGCTCGTGGCCCCAAATTGAATGGCAGCAGATTCCATTAGTTTGGCTGGATCTTGGGGCCCATTAAGGGCCAACCAAACATTGTCGCCTCGCCATTCTGTGTGGGTGGCAGTTGGGCCAATTGTTTGGGTTATCCGTCTTCGTCTTTGGGTCTTTGTTGGGGTCTGTCTATGGCTGAGTGAGTCTATGTGTGTGTCTGCCAAATGCCAAGCAATTTGTTCCATGCATATAAATCTTAAGAAATAATTGCAGCAATGACACGCACATACATACATACGTATGTGGATACAACCAGAGGAATGATTATAAGGGGCATAGATTCCGGCCTTGATTGGTTGAGAGCCGCTTAAAATATGCGAACTAAACTGTATTTTGGCTTGGCTCTCTAGATTCTGCACTAAGATTCGCCATCGCTCTCCCATCAGCAATCAATAAAATTTAGCATGCACTTGTATCTGTATCTGTTGGATGTATCTGGTGGATGTATAGTATAGAACACGACTGGCTCTTGGCCAAAGTGCGTTCGTTTTGGCCGCGTCTCTGAAAAGCTCACTTGGGCTCGCTTTGTTTGTCCTCGCTCTCGAAGCCTTTCGCCATTGTTTGGCTATGCCCAGCGCATTGTTGTTGCTGCAAATACACACACAGATCCATATATAAATATACTCGTATATATAGACACGTGTGCATAGGCACATGTGTGTCCTTTGCCATTGTTTGCTGAATTTATAGCACGAATTTCTGGATTGGCTCTTGGCGACTATTTGCAGTTTTATTTTTGTTTTTATACCCATAAAACCTCGTACGCGCCTCGACCAGCTCTCGAAGCCTCACTCAGACAACGCGCTGGCCGTCCTTGAGGCTTATGCTAAAACAATGGCTACTCCTGCTCACAAGTATTTATTTGCCCAACTTTAATGCCACGTATGGGTGGGGGGGATATGGCAGGTGCCTGCTTTATGATTTATGCTTGTGTCATGTTAATTAGCACGATCTTTGGCTGATTTGGGCTCGTGTCTGTGTGCCTCCGACACGTTGTCGCATGTGAAAATATTCCCCAAAAAAGAACACAGCACACATTCACACAGTGAACCCTGGCACAAGGGAATCACACTACTGAAAAATACAAAAAAAAAGAGGGGAAAAGGGAAAATAAGTGGTATTTTCAATCTATATCTAGTCTATGGCTTTGTTTTCAATTTCCACTTCGTTGAAAGTGGAAGGGTAAGAGGCTAAAAGTTTATTGCGTCATTCATGGCATTATAGATATTTCTCTTTCTCCACTTAGGGGGGCTTATAATAGTTTATCAGGCTCCTCCTACAGGTTCTGAGCTAGAATTATAAAAATTGTGACTGTTCTGAGTGGTCACAGTGAACGAAAAATAATTAAAACGAAACAAAGAGAGGAAAAACCAAAGGAGAGAACAGAACAAAGAACCATGAAATTCCCTGGAATTAACTATTAAGGACTCTTCCTAATTGATTTCATTACGCTCGTAATTAGTTAAGAAATTGAACTTGTTGTTGTTGGATAAGGGTGAAGTTGCATCCTATCAAGCGAACTTTCACTGTACCCGCAGAGTCCTGGCAACATCCGTTGCTGTAGCAGATATTATGGCTGTAATTTCCTTGTGTTTCGTGGCTGGCTTTCATGTGCCAGGCATTTGTCCCATCAACGTCACCGGCCCCATTCTTTCGTGCTGCTATCATGCCATCCCTCCATCCGAGAGCTGGGGGCACGTCGTGCGGCAGACTCGTCGTATATTGCGTATACGCCCCGTAATGAATACTCTTCAACCAATTGACAACGCATGAATTTATGAAAAACGACAAACAATTCCTCCGGATGGGCAGAGGGCCCTTGTCCGGGGCAAGGATGTGGAACGGGTATAAATATGCAACATGTTTCCTGTACATCATTCCCGCCTCAGTGCGCCTGGTGCGTGCCTCGTGGGTTAACGATTTTCGTTTCCTTTCCTCCTCTCTGGGCTTGTAACCATAACCGAAACCGACACTGAAACCATATCGTAAACAGGGCAGACCCAGCTTAACCCAAAATATACTCGTACTTTTGGCAAAAGTTTCTTATAGGCGCTGCGGCATAAATAACAACCGAATGCGGATGCGGATTTTCACTGTTGGGCTGTAAAATCCTGGCATCGTCTCTGGGGGCATTTATTCTCAAATCAGCACCAAAGCTGGCTCATTTGGCTTATAACCAAGGCCCCAGGCACTGGAATTTCCACTGTCAAGAGCAGCCAGCATATAAATAATTGTGGATACATATATCCCTTCTTATGGCTGGATATTTTTTAAATAGAAGTGTGGACACATGAGAGTGTGACTACATGCAAAATCATTTAAGCAGGGCCTAGGATTAGGGGCATGATGATTATAAATGACCCGGGCAAGAGTTTGACAGGTTTCGAGTGCATGTTTTAGCCAGATACATGTATGTACAATCGCGTACATACTCGTATATAGTATGTCCAGAGCACATAACACACTTCAGACAGTGTACGCTCATGTGGCATGCAGCAGTGTTTCCCCATTCATTGTTTATAATCGCTGGGCAAACAAGAGGCGCTCCACACGAGAGGATGAGGCGCCACAACATGCGTTGCATGTTCAAGTCCATGATTTATTCATCAGCTTCCCTCTCTCTGACTCCCCCACTAAAATGGTGTCCATGGCAGCCGTCGCACGCAAATCAGCCCCACACCCTGCTACCACCAATTAAATCAAATTATTGAAACGAGTTTTAATTAAATGCTTTTCATTCTGCCCGAACAATGGGTATATATATTCTATATCCTTGATCCCGTGGGTGGGTATCCTCGCCTAATCCAATTAACTCTCATAGACACACAAATTTGCCGTCAGTCAATTTAGTTTTCAGTGCCAAAAAGCCAGCCCTGACCCTTACACAAACACCCACACCAACACCCACATTCTCGGGGAATGGGCGGCGTCACCTGTGTGTCAATTCTGGTTTCAGTTACAGACTTTTGGTGGCACTTTCGGAAATTGTTTCAACAACGGTTTGTAATTTCACACGCCGCAAAGTGATTAGCTCTGCTTTGTGGCAACACCCACACCCACACCCACACCCATCCCATTCGATCCCCCAGCAGCATTGATTGAATCCCCAAACTAGAAACCGAACTAACCACAAACTCATTTTCTTCTTCTCTCTCTCTTTGGCAGGGACAGGGACTTTGATGTGAAACGGAAGGGAGGCGGCGATAGAAAGCGAGAGACAGGAAGGGCGCCAGAGGGCCAAAGGGCAATTGAAGGGGAAGGAGAAGGGAAGGGAATAGTGTGCAAATTGATATTGTCTAGCAGCATGGATGAGGAGCACGACGACGATCAAATAATATGAGATTAGATGGGGCTTTAGAGCCCCGGCACCGTCACGGTCACGGTCACGGAGCTGCCATCCTCAAGGGCCGCTTCCATGGTGTTGCCCCACTGAGGCGCGAGACGCGTGAAAAATGTGAGACAAAGCGAAACAAACAAGCTGACGAAGACGACGATGCAGCCACAGATGCTGAGTGTTTGACCAGCAGCAACAACAACACCAGCAGCAAGAGGACAACAATCAGCAGCAGCAACAACAGCAGCAACAGCAACAACTGCCACTGGCCGCTGGCAAAAAAAGCCAACTTGGACTTCAACTTTGAGGGCATCTCCACGGCAAGAGCAACAGCCCCAAGAGCTGGAGCCCAGGCCACTTCTTTGTGCGACGGAAACGTGAAACGCTCCTCCATTGTCGCCACCCTAAAAAAGCGTGCCCAGCCATCGTTAATGCTAATGGCCGCCACTGAGGGGCCAAAGAACCCCATTCCGAACCCGGACCCGAATCCGAACCCGAACCCGAAGAAGAGCATTAGCATGGGCAGGAGCGGGAGCGGGAGCAGGAGCAGGAGCAGGCGCCAAGGCATTGGCCCGGCCCTGGAGCGAGGTTGGGCTAAGGAATGGGATTTGGGCTTGAGCCGGCACTGGAGCTGTGACTGGGGCTGGGGCGCTCCCCTCAGCACGTTTGTCCTGTGCCTGATTTCCGTCATTGCCCTGCTGCCGCCTCTAACGCTCGGCGATGACGGTGATAATTTCTTTGCCGTAAATGCCTTCAGCGCGGGACCGGAGACGACAACCCCAGAGTTCGGTAAGTAGCGCACGAAACCCTCCATCCATCCGTATCCGTATCTAGCAGATAAGAATGCTGCAGCAGGTAGTGCGGAACTATACTAGATATTCATCCTAGGCATAGGCTTGGCTTTTGCTAAAGACCGCACTGACGTCATCGAGGCTGCCTTGGCCATCCTTTGTTCATTTCGCTGGAGGGGCTTCCATTGCAATTGCATAAGCTGCATTTTTTGCTCCTCAAACACAGGGCAGCACCCAGTATCTAGATGTAAGAAAAAGCACTGGTAGATATAAATAGAAACCACATTTTAGAGACTCTGAAACGAAGCGTTCTATGGGCTCTGCTAATTCTAGAAGTGCGCATCTTTTTCTATAAGCATTCCATTCCACTTCTTGGTTTCCCTTGAACCACTTTTCAGGGTTCATTTAGTACATCCTGCCGCGTGGAACAAAAGTAGTTTTCTCATTCACATATCAAAAGTCCCGTGGCCCAAATGGGGGGAAGTTTTTCATGTAGTCGCATATCTTTCGGGGTGGGCTTATAAGCCAAGTTCTCTTTAATGGTGGGGCCCCGTTCTGTTAATTATAAATGTGGCTCCTAATGCAACGCTGGTTGTTTAATGTCAGGCCATCAGCCCGTCTGACATGTGCAATTTGTACTCCGATTTTTTGGGCCCCAGACTTGGGCCTTTGAAGAGATGCTGGGCCTGTTTGAAAAATTGGCTGAATAGGACCTGGCCGGCAATTGGGTAATCTCTTTTCGGTGAGGCCATCAAAGGTTGGCCTGGGGGGTCAGGGACAGGGACAGGGACCCGCACCCTCGTCCGTGCCGGGTAGCCCGCACCCAACCTGGAGGCCTGCCGGCGGTCGCCACTTTGTCAACACTTTGAGAGAATTTCCTCAGTGCTGCAGTGCCACGGAAACCAAATAAAGCTCAGCTGCAAAAAAAAGAAATGTAAGCAAAGCTGTGTGTGGCATGATGCTGCGGCATCAGGCGTTTTCATCTCTCTTTTGTGGACTGTATGGAAAGGGTATGCGGGGGTCGATTGGTGCCAGGCATTGAGTGTGCAATCCAATAAGGAATATCTAATATGGAAAGGCTTTAAATATGTATGCTCGTAAATAAATTGAAGTCTGCGAACTGGGGCGACAGTGCTGTGTAGTTTCTTACCTTTTCAATCGCTCTATATTCAACTTGTAAATTCTTAAGCATGCTTTAAATTATTAACTTGAGATTGCATTTTGTGCTAACATTGTAAAGAGTATCGATTTACTTTAGAAAAGATATCAAATGGGATGCCTTACAACAGATTGTTTCATGAGACTCGAAGTTATCAACACTGAAACACAGTTGCATACCTTTTTCCCAATTGAAGATTAGTTCAATCAAATCTGAGTCCACTCAACAAAGGATACCGAGTTCTTTCAATGAGGTAACCCTCAGTCGAGCATTCTGGCCCTCTCATTATTCACATTAACATTCATTTTTTAGCATTTTGCTGAAACTAAAGCTCCTATTCATAGTCAGAAGGCGGTGCATTTAAAAATAAACCGCAAGCAAATAGACTCTCGGCCCCCATAACAGGCTCACACAAACGCACACTGGCACACTCTATTACACACACACATGCACTAGGGGGACGGGGAACACGGAGGCGAGTGAGCAAGCATCTAGAAAATGGCGCACCCCGTTTGTGCATGAGCAGCCATTTTGTTTTGTCTTTTCGCTTCCGCTGGCTTAAATGTCGACCGAGGGCGCATCCGCTCCACAGCCAGCCAGTGTCGATCCCGCTCCCTGTTATGGTCGCGGTGCTGGTCTTGGTCTTCGTTTGGGTGTCTCAGTAATTATGGCAGGAGTATCAACAGAATTAGTGAGGCAACGGCTGGCATATACGAGTGTGTCATGGCGTTGCCATTGCCGTTGTTGCGGGGTTAACTTAACCCTTGACTGGGGCTGAGATTTTGCACACATTGTCGGTGGCAATCCCCCAGCCAGAGTCGCTCCCAAGAGCTTAATTAAGATGTGAAGGGCCACAAACTCGACTCGCTGCCAGCTCGAGCATAGGTGAGTGTGTCTGTGTCTGTGTCTGCGGCAGGCCATGTTTTCATTCCATTCAACGTTAATGAAGGATTCGCCAGTGCCTCCTGGCACATGGCTGAAGTGCAGCGAAGACCAAGACACGACCCAGTCCGCAGGCACTCTTAAGGCCTCTCTCTGGGGGAAATGCAGAGACACGGACAAACACCACACCTCTACACACCTCTACACACCTCTACAAAGCTGGCTCTGAGCTGCTCTGTGCTGCGCTGCTCTGCGGCTAAAGAATTTACATTTTAATCTGGCTGTAAGTCGCTGGGGGATTCCGAATACATTTCACAAAGTTTCTTTCCACTTTTCCACGTTTTTTATTGATATGCACGGCGGCAAATCGAAAGTTTGTTTCGGTTTCATTACAGATTTCTCACATGGGATTAGTCAAAACAGACACGAGCCGAGTAACCCACAGTCCTTTCTCTCGTCTCTTCCCCATAGATTATGCCAGCCGCGGAGTGAAGAAGTTTGGGGACAAGTGCGATAACACCTTGGAGTGCGGTTTCCCCGGCTCCATATGCGATCCCAAGAAGAAGTCCTGCCAGTGCACCGAGGATCTGGCCGTCACCAATCACTATGATAAATGTGGCAAAGGTAAGGTAACTGGTGGGGTGGAGTGGGGTGGGGGACTGTCCGCCCCTGCTTTTCCGGCTTTTCCTGCCTTTCCTGCTGTCACTCTGCCAAGTTTTCATTAAAAATGGCAGTGAAGAGAAATTGCACTGCCAGCTAAGTGAAATCCCCCAAAGCGTTGTCTTGATTGTGGGGCGCAGCCACAAATTCTGTAAATTAAAATAGAAAACTTGGCAGCAGGTAGCAATATGGGTGACGGCAGTAGCAAAAGTGCAACTAATGCATGTTTGACGTAATTATAATAGATATTCCCCCGCTCCGACATCTGTTCAATGCTGTAAATTAAAATCTAATTGAGGCACATTCCCACTCCTGACTTTGATGAGCACATTTATGGCTGGGTGCTTAACGAATCCCATGACGGACTGCTGTACTGCTGGGTGTTACCCAACTGATTCCCATCTCCTCAGCAACTAATCCCCGTACAACCCGAGCATTGTCTGCGCGTCTCAGACTCGCCCCCTTTCTGTGGGGCGCCTTCTGTGATAATATTTGTCATCGGAGTGGACAAACACACACAGCAGAGTCAATCCTCCCGAGCCATCGCCATATCGCACTTCAATCAGCCATTAAATCAATCCACAAAAAGTCGAGACAGCGGAGAAATACTTTCTGTGATATGGGTGCCATTTGTTGTTGACCGTATGAATCATGGCGGGTCCGTCCGGACAGGACGGGGAACTTGTCCGTTGCCCACTCATCCCATGCCCATATGTTGCTCTCTTTTCGTTTTCCAGAGGCCGCCGTGAACGAGTCCTGCTTCTTCAACGAGCAGTGCGAACAGAAGTACTTTCAGACGGAGTGCCGCGACGGACGATGCGCCTGCCGCTTCGAGATGTCGCCCGTTTGGGGCAAGGATGGCACTGTGGAGTGTGCAGGTCGGTGCAGGCTCTGCCGGTCAGCCTACAAGTGTCCATGTTAATGGTCGATGTGTGTTTGCTTGCAGGGCGCCAGGACAAGCGGGGACCCGAGACCTACATCGATCCGGCCATGATTGGCGTGCTGGTAGGAATGGCATTGATGTTTATTATTATTTGTGTCGTCCTGCGATTGTTTAGCCAGTGAGTAAATTGCAATGCAAACATCTCCACCGCCCCACACCGAAAACCAACGCCACTTTCAGTACTCGAGCTTCTTCCATCTTGGCCATATGCTTGCCCGTCCAAAAGGGGCCCTGAACTGGGTCAATGGGGCTGTCGATACTTCGATGGGGCTTCATTAAATTGCTTGATGCTGTTGCTTTTGCTTTTCCTTTTGCTTTTGCCGCTGGCTATGCCGATGGCCGGTTGGCAAGCGATACATAAATCGAGCACCAATTAATTTCTAGTCTAATAAACTGAATTTCTGCATTAATTACGAGTGTATGCACAAGGCAAGGGCAAAGGCAAAGGGCAACAGCATCCTCATTAGCCACAACCACCAACCACCAATCACCAACCACCTCCCAGCTTTGGCACCCATCAACCGCCGAGCTTCTCGTGCCCATCCAAGAGGTGAAACTAATGCCTCCCTGCAATCTGCCACCATTACAGAGCCCGCTGGCATGAGAACCGGACCATCTTCAACACGCCCAATCCGCGCCTGATGAACGTCTCGCTGCTGCGCGACAGCAAGCTGCTCCACGGGCAGGAGCGACGAGGCTCCCGGATGTCGGTGCGCGCCCCATCCCGGCAGCCCAGCATGGCCTCGCTGCGTCCGCACTCGCCCAATCCGTCGCTAGGTAAGACAGGTTTGTATCCACTTCCATCTCTAAGGGCACACACACTTGTCCATCTTGTCCGGCCTTCTTCCGAGTCTTTCGAGTGTACGGCTTTGATTTGTTCTTGATTTTGGTTTGATTGTTTTCTGTTTACTGTTTGATTTTTGTCGGAAACTTGCAGAACTTTCTTTTTACAGCCAAAAAATACAACGAAAAGAAAGAGAAACTCAAAATATTAACTCAATCAATCAATCAGTCAGTCAGTCAATCTATTGATCAGTCAGTCACCCAACAAGAAACAAACAAAATCACTGAAAACGAAACTGAAACGAAATCTCTCTCTGGGGAATGTGTTGCTTCTGAAGTGGGGAATGTGCAAAAACATGGCAGAAATAATAAGTGTGGTTTTCGATATTAAAATAGATAACTCATCATACTATGTACGGGTACAATGACGGGCACTTCAATAGGGATTCGGTTTGAAATCTGAGAGTAAAGGAATATTTGTTGTAGAAGGAATGGAAAGATGAGGATATGTTTATGAAAGTATGTATATACCCTTACTATCCCAGCAAACCAAACGCTCATAAATGATATCGCATACGAGTCAAATGCGAGACTTAACCCGACAAAACGCTCGCATTCGGACCCGCATATGATAGAAATATGATACTTGTGTCGTTCAGTTTGTGGCAGTGAAAGTATCATTTATGATAGCTCGCAAAGGAATCGTTTGCGATATAATTTGCGAGCCTTTTGCGATATCGTTTGCGAGCATTTTGCGGAACTCTCGCAAAAGGCATGTTTGTTGGTTTGCTGGGATATTACTGAGGTATCCATCGTACACCCACTCGGAGATACATAAATCCACTTGTGGAACTCAATTACTTAACGATTTATTTAAGAAAAGCATAAAACCATCACTAAATTGTTTTCTTTTACCTATAAGTTGACTCTTCAGTTGAAATTTGTTGTGAAAAAAACATTCCCCATAGATGAAGATGGAGCTAGTTCGCTGGGCCGCACTGTCGCCGGGTATCTGGCCATATTGGCAGCCTTATCCAACATCAACAACGTTCCGAAATGCTAAACGCAAACGAAGCAAGACCAACAAGCTCTTTAGGGGCTCAATCAATTTGACTGACAGTTTAAGAACCGTTTTATTCGACGCCTCTCGCTGCCATTGGGGGGGGGGGCAGGCCCATGGCTATTGTTGTTGTTGTTTTTGTTGTTACTGCTTCTGGCCATTGCTGTGATAATTGTTGTTGTGCTAAGCCCAGCGGACAGTTGTCTGAAATTACCTTTTTTTGGGTTATTTTTATTCTTGTTTGAGTTTTGCGCCAAGTCCCCCAAGCCCAGACCAGACCCCAAAGACCCCAGAAACCGAACCCATCAGGACACGATGTCGCGTGCCTTTGTGAAAGCGAAATATTAAACGTATCCAACCCGCTCATTCCCTCCACCGCCCACAAACAAACGAACAACAAAAACCACCAAAAACCAAACTTAAACAAAAACCGACACCGATACCGCCACCGTCACCGTCACCGTCACCGCTCTGTTGAAACCACCATCGACACAAACAAAGGACGCATGATCCGCTCGAAGAGCAACACACGCTCTAGTGATTCACGGGTCAGCGATGTGTCCACCTGCTCCCGACTGCTGGAGCACCCGAGCGCCGCCAACCAGCACAACATAGTCCACAGTCACTTTCTGCCCTACGTGCCAACGACCACGGCGGCCTCAGCGGCCTCAGCCTCAGCCTCAGTATCAGGCACAGCCATGACAACGTATGCTGCCTCAGCCACGCCTTCACCCACGCCCACAGCCAGTGCATCGCCAGCGATGCAGCCAGTCACCGCCACCATCAGCACCACCTATGTGTCATCGCCGGGGGCGGCGCCAGCCTGTGGCCGAACGATTAAGTTTTAGATCACAAATAACTATACGTATCACAAAGCAAAAAGCCAAAAGCCAAAAGCCAAGAGCAAAAGCATCCATATCAGGGTCCAAGAGGTAGGCAGTCCCAGTCCAAATGTCCAATCCAATCGATCCAAAAACCACCCAAAATACAGTCTTTGTAGTGTAAATTTGACGTCTTGTTAGCGAAAATTGTAACCAAAGTTGTACTTGTACTTGTAATCGTACTCGTAGTTGTTGTACTCGTTGTTGTTGTCGTTGTTATCCTTTAATCGAAATGTTATTGTAAACCTAGTGTTAAGCTGTAGCTGAGAGTAGCAGTTTGACTATTACTCCTCCTACTACCAGTACTCCTGCCACTTATACAAATACAAACCTGTAGCCAAGCCAATACTCCACTCACACAGATACCCATACAGAGAAACATGAGCAGACACAGATACTCGTACAAAAAGACACGTAGATGCCATCCCGAATCTGCCATCGAACGCTTTCTCTCTCTCTTTCGAACACTATCTGCTCCATTGACGCATCCATTTTGATTTGAGTTTCCTTCCGCTTCAGTTTCCTTCCTTTACGGCACGGCTCTTATATGATATATGACATATATAAATATAGTTTCCTCAACTGGCTTTCTTCCATATAATTTTATATATTTACAACATAAGTAGTGAGGGACTTGAACTTCCCCTGAGTTCGAGTCCTGAATCAGACACTTTGCTGTTGTCCCGTGATGCCAAAGATAACTTCCCCTTAAACGGTTATCTGTAGTCTGTAGATTGGGGTCATTCCCTTCCATTGAAACTAATGGTTGTCCGTCTCCCACACAGGTTCCGATGAACACGGCAACGGCAGCAACGCCTCGGGCACATCAGTGCGGTCCAATCGCAGCAATTCGGTGGCTCCAGGCAAGATTTCCCATCATGAGCGCCACGGATCCGCACATCGCCAGCACCACCCCCATGGACACCAGCCGCAGCACCACCAGCAGCAGCAGCAGCAGCATCATCACCAGCAGCTGCAGCCCCAGTCGCAGCCGCAGTCGCCCCAGGAGCAGGCACTGATCACCAACATCACCACCAATCCGGTGGCCGAGAGCGTGACCGTCGAGATCATCGAGCCGGGACAGAAGTAGGACGAGCAGCAGCAGCAGAAGGAGGAGGCAGAACAGCAAGGCGAGGAATGGAGCATGGTATGCTAGACCAGATTAATGGCGAACTCTCTGACACGAACACTGAACACTGAACACGAATTCGAATCGTCGATATACGAGTAAACACACATACACACATATATGCGATGTACTTAGTCACGATATATGCACGCGATAATAAGGCTGGCTCCCCCGGATGGGCGGGGCTAGGCCCGACACTCACACATGATGCCATTGTTAGACTCTTTTTGACACAGACAATTTTTGCAATTAGTGGAAAATTTTTGAACCAAACCAATTATATACTTATTATATATATATTGTACGAAGCATATAACAACTTTTGCTGACACCCTCACACATACACCCAAGAAAAGCAAAAACAAAAACAAAGACAAAAACAAAAACAAACAAAGAAAATGCTAATGAATTACTAACGATATATGCATATATAGCGAGCAAAGCGTACATTGAACAGATATACGCGACTACACCGTAAAAAATATTGAAAAAAACCTTGCATAACAAATTCATACTAATCTTTTTTTTCAACCAAAAAAAAAAGCAACAAAAAACAAACAAAGAAAGAAAACCAATGAAGAAAACTTTATTCATTTATATAAAAAATATTGTAATGCAGTTGAACTATATTCTAAGCTTTGGGTTGAAGGAGGCTTTAGGAAACAAAACAGAGAAAGACCCACTAGGCATAGAGAAACGAAACCGTAGAGAGACCCTAGTGTCAGGCACTCAGATCTCAGATCTCAGCTCGTAGCTCGTAGTGTTCTATAACCAATCAATCTCAATTGGTGTGACGTGACCCCCTTTTCGCGGAGGGTCAGTGCGGAATCATTGCCAAAAACGAAATGAATTCGGATTAAACCAAAAGCAATTCGCTGATACAACGCCTTATCTATACTCGTAACTATAGTGACAAGCCGACTCAGATCGCGACTGAGCCACGCCTCCAATTGCCGCTCTAGCTCCCACATATGGATGTTAGCCCAAGATGGAAATGGTAGGAAACCAAGATGAAGAAATATTAAACAACCTCGGGACCATATTTTATAATCAAAATATGCGTTTCATTGCGAAGCACGCACGTTCAGATTATCCTTGTTTTCAAATTTCATTTCTCTCGCTCTAGGGATTGAGAAACGGCAAGATCGTACCTATATTTTTACCAACTTTTTGCCAGCTAAAAAGAGCAAAAGTCTTAGGGAACACACAGACACACACACACAACACAAAATGATACTAAGGATAATGAATATATACAATTAATGCTAGCAGTACGCACACACCTATACATAGAATCTAAATTGACTTCCAGTCGAATAATGCCTATTATATTTTGACCTAAGTTCTACTACTACGACCCTGTAAACAATTTGTGCTAAATTTGGTTTAACAGCAATTTCCACCACTCACCGATCGGGATCGTGGCCGGGGGGGACCTGGGATTGTGCATTGGGCTAGCCGGGAATAGGGGAAGATTTTCGGGTCTGTCCAATGCAGAGTTCGAAGCGGTGCCCGCTGAAAGATGATCTCCAAGTTATAGCCATAGTAGATATAGAAGTTTGAGATCGATAAGGTTTAGTTGTTGCCCCCAGACACCATGGAAAAACAGAGAACTCTCATTTGCTTTTGTGCTCAATCAAAGAAGCTTAACTGTGAGAATAACAAAACGAATACAAGATACAAATAACTGTAGAGCAAGAAAATAATCTTAAAATGCTTGAGAACTCTAGCTAAACAATTAAAATTAGTGTAACTCTAACGACGAACAACAAAAAAAAAAACAAAGCAAAAACCAGAACAATTTTATTAAAGCATCGAATTTTTCTTAAAAACCAAAAAAACAAAAAAAACACAAAAAAAAAAACTTATAATGAACGAGCAAACAAACAATCTTATTTCTAGGACAAGAAATCTAAATACTTATTTACATTCCAAAATGCGTTCAATAAAAACGATTTGGTCCTTGGAATTTGGGGAAGAATTTCGAGGATCAACCCGGTTTTTAGTTTGGGAACTGCAAGACATGTAACATCTAAGCACCAGAATAGCAACTAATTATAATAAATGACATCACTGATTTTTCTATTTACATCAAATACCGTTTGTTGAAGGCAGACCTTAAGCGAATTTTAAATAAGCTAACTCGATGAAGAGCGATGAAGTGGAAGAGAATATTTTAAAACCAGTTATATACATACATGAATATGCTTTATTTACTTTAATATATACATTATATACACGAACAACAACTACATACAACTAATACTATATATACACTTGTATTAAAGTTCCGTGAGGGAACAACCAACCAACCAAACTCAATGCGATAAATTCATTTACACTCTACCTAAAAGTCGAAAGGAAAACAAATTTTATATCTCGTAATGCTAATATTATGTATTATGTATACATCTAGATTCAAATGCCATTATCGCACATCTAAGAAACCAATATTAAAGTTTAATATTAACGAAACAAAAGAACTAATTCTCTAAGCCTAGAACAGAAGCAAAACATACATATTATATAGTTAAACATTTCGATTTCTCATGTGACTTGTGACTAAAACAACAAGAACAAAAAACAAAGAAAAAATGAAAAAGGAACAAGATAAACAAGATCAAAGTAAACTAGCAAAGGATCGTAGTTATAGAGAGCGAATCAAAGCCAGACAGTACGAGTAGCGAAGATACATAGCAGATATAGAGATACGAAGATACATGAAGATTAACTGCTTTTTTCCAACTTCAAGAAAGGCAAACGGAAGAGTTGAATCAACTAAGTATATATATATATTATGAAGTACATACATATATAAATATATACATATATAAAATATATATTTAAAGATCAGTTCACTATAATAAAAACTATATTACCATACCTTACAGAACAAAACAAACGACCCCCGTGTACGAGTACCTTCTTATATACCTATAGTACAGTACAGTATAGTATAAGTATGAGCTGCAGTCTTTTAGAGAGTGGTGCCATGGTAGCCGTAGCCCTGCTCCGACACAGGCTCGGAGTCCCGAGCCCTCCTGCCCAGCACCCGCTTGCGGTAGCTCTGCTCGGCCAGGTGGCGCAGATGCTGAGCGGTGCCGACTCCCGTCTTCTCCACGAAGCGATAGAGGTGCCCGTTGCGGTGCTGGAGCAGCTCGTGGGGATGGCCCAGCTCCACCACGCGGCCCACATCCATGACCAGCACGCGGTCATTGTCCATCACCGTGTGCAGGCGATGGGCGATGGTCAGCACCGTGCAGTGCTCGAACTTGGTTTGTATAGCCTCCTGGATGAGCTTGTCAGTCCTGCCAAGAAAATGGGTAATCAATGGCAAGCTTGAAGATGTCTATGGGGCGTGGGTAACTTACTCGGGATCCACATTGGCCGTGGCCTCGTCCATGATGAGTATTTGATTCTGGCGAAGTATGGCCCGCGCCAGGCAGACCAGCTGCCTCTGGCCCATGCTGAAGTTGGCCCCGCTGTCGTGGAGGCGGCAGCTCAGACCCCCCTTCAGACCCGAAAAGAACTGCTTCAGCTTGACAGCTTCCAGGGCCTGCCACAGTTGCTCGTCCGTTTTCTGCTCAAACGGATCGAGATTGTAGCGCAGTGTGCCCGAGAATAGGACAGGATCCTGGGGAATGATGGACATGCGGCTGCGCAGGTCGTGGAGTCCCAAAACGGATGTCTCGTAGCCATCGATCTCGATGATGCCGTCGATGGGTGCCAGCCGGAAGAGGGCCTGCACAATCGAGGACTTGCCGGCGGCCGTGCGACCCACGATTCCAATCTTCTCCTTGGGATGGATGGTGAAGCTGAGTCCCTTGAGCACATACGGACCATGATCGCTGTAGCGCAGGCGCAGATCCTGGAAATGTACCTGCCCGGCGCTGGGCCATCCTGCGGGTAGATTAACCGACTCCGGCGTCTCGTAGGCCGGCTCCGGGGGTATGTTCACATACTCCATCACCCGCTCCACGCTGGTCATCTGGTTCTCCAGCTCCACCGTCTGCCGCATGCCCCACTGGCACATGAGCACCAGCTTCATGGACTGGGTGATGGCCAGTCCCACATCGCCGCTGTAGTAGCCGTGCTCCCTTTGTTCCACCAGCAGGAAGCTGAAGGTCACCGCCAGGATGTACAGCACGCAGATGAGGTCCGTCCAGAAGGCGAAGGCCCTGTTGACGCTCACATACAGGTACAGGGCCGAGGTGTTCTCATTCTGTAAGCGATGAAAGTCCCGCTCCAGGCGCTTGGTGGCGTTGAAGGCACGTATCGTGGTGAGTCCTTTAAAGGTGGCATTCGTGTGGGAGTAAAGGGGGCTGCGGGCTGTGGAGGACAGAACAAGATGAGTTCTGCAACTGGGGAAAGGAGAAGGCCGACTTACAGATGGTCTCGATGCGCTTCAGGCTCCGGCTGGCTCCAATGTACAGGCATCGGCAGAGGTACAGCAGAGCCATCACAACAATGGCCGGAATGAGCAGCCACGTGTTGGCCGTGCTTACCACCGCGAGGACAGCCAAGGCATCCACAAAGAACTCAATGGAGTCCATCATCGACTGCGGCAGAGTGACATCAATGGCCAGGATATCGCTCGAGAAACGGTTGAGTATACGCCCGGATGTGGCCAGCGTAAAGAACTGCATGCTGGCGCGGATTATGCCCCGGAAGAGGTAGTTGTGGATGCGCAGCGAGATGCGGAGGCACATCATGAAGAAGCCAAAGGTTCGGAGCACATACAGGATCAGGGTGCTCAGGATCAGAACCAGGTAGAGGGTGACTAGACGCATACGGGTCTTGTGATACTGCGGGATGGGCTCGTGCTGATTGGGCTCCGTCTCCTCCCAGGTGGCCCTGCAAAAGGATTCCCAATTGGTTTATATATTCGCTGCAAGGAGACCCCCCATTCATGCTCACCATTTGGACAGGAAGATATCCATGGTGGCCTCTGAGGCGCGGGCCGCAATGAAAAGTATAAGGATCAGCACCACCACAGAAGGAATGCGCAGGATTCCCAGGTATGCCTTGTACGTGGACCATTTGACCGATCCCCGTAGCTGCTGCTCCTTGTACTGCTGCTCCGATCGATCCAGATCGACTTGCTGCTGCTGGGTCAGGGGCTCCCTGGGCTGCGTCTCCTCGAAGATGCTGTCAGTGCGTACGGCACGGAGCTTAGCCACCTCGCTGTCGTTTGCCACCGACATGCGGAACCGGATGAGCTTCTTCAGATTATCGTACTGGCCCTGAATAGAGGCCCGACCGCTTTCCAGTAGCACCAAGTGATCGACATGCTTCAGCAGCTGGACACGATGCGTGACCAGGATGCGGATCTTATCGCTGAGAAAGTCGTTGAGGCACCGATCGAGCAGCATCTTGCTCACATGCGAGTCCACTGCGGAGAGGGGATCGTCCAGCAGATAGATGTCGGCCTTGCGGTACACGGCACGCGCCAGACTGACCCTCGCCTTCTGGCCCCCGCTTAGGCTGGCTCCTCCCTCGCCCACAATGGTGGCGTCTCCGGCGGGCAGCTCCTCGATGTCCTTGTCCAGCATACAGACGCGCAGCACTTCCTTGTATCGCTGCTCGTCGAAGACCTCCATGAAGAGGATGTTGTCGCGAAGACTGCAGCGGTTCAGCCAGGGCTCCTGGGCGGCATAGCTGAGGACACCGTTGAGCTCCACATTGCCGCTGATGATATCCAGCTCCCCCAGCAGGGCCTGCAGAAGGGTGCTCTTGCCGGCGCCCACAGTGCCAACGATACCCACGAACTGCTGCTCCGTGGCCTGGAAGCTAATGTCGTCGATGTGGCGCTGGCGCTTCTCCTGCTTGGCCTGGTCCCAGCTGGCCGTCAGCTTCTGTACGGTGACGCTCTTGTGCATGGCGCGCGGATTGTGCATGCGGCCAAAGAAGTTGCCGTGCTCCACGTCCTCGTCCACATCCTTGAAGTTGTCCACGCCTCCATCGGCGGGATCTTCGTGCTGGAGCAGGAAGTCCACCACGCGACCGGCAACCACAAATGTCTCGGCCCAGATGTTAATGGCCAGCGGCCAGAGATGCAGCAGGGACTCGTTGAGGTGGTCGTAGTAGCTGGACACAATGAAGACCTTCTGCGAGGTGACAATGTCCCCGGTGAAGACAAAGCTGGCAAGGGACAGGAAGAGCGACAGCTTCGATATCATTCCGGTGCACTGCAGGGCCGCATAGATGTACATTGATCCGCGTATGGAGCCCATCTCCTTCTTCCTGACGCGGCCAATCAGCTTGGCAAACGACTTCTCCCACGCGTACATCTTGATCAGCTGCATGGCCGTGATGATCTCGTTCATCAGCTTCACCCGCTCATCGCCAAACTCCGCCGATCTCCGCTTGAACCGGGCCGTCGCCCGGGCAGCCCACGCCTGCAGCGGTATGAACACGATGATGGTGGCCAGTCCCACGAGCGCCGGCCAGCCAATCAGCTGAAAGATGATGTAGCCAAACACCAGTCCCTCCAGCGGACCGCGCCACAGCTCTTGGAAGAAGTAGAAGGCCTCGTTGAACTGCGGCAGATCGGTGGCCATTAGGGATATGGCATAGCCACTCATGCCGCTGTTGTCCGCGGCCACCGACACCCTCAGGCACTTCCTGTAGACGAGTCCAGCGCACGCCAGCCGGATGCGGGAGCCCACCCCGAACAGGTAGTGCATGAAGGGGTGGTAGAACAGACCCGAGACCAGGGAGCACAGGACCACGCCCATGGCATACAAGTATGCCGACTTCTTGGAGATGTCATCGGTGCTCTCCGAGAAGTAGGAGACCAGGCCGCCCAGCAGCAGTGGCTGCAAAGTGCTGTTAAGGGGAACAAAGGGGATGGGATGTCACTAACCCGAAAGGTGTCCTCTCCGCCAATGACAAAATACGTACTGCACAACGATGGCCAGCAGCGAGTAGACTATACTGACAGGTACAAATCCCCAGCCGTATGCCCGAAAGACCATACGCAAGACGCTGGGCTTGGGACGCTTCAGCTCCTTCTCCCAGTGGCCGAGGAGGAACTGCGACACCTTGGGACTGTCGAGTTTGGGCACGGGCGCATACAGATCCGACGGCTCCACACTCTTGCGCATTCCCTTGGCGAGAATCTCGCGTGTCCAGCTGGAAGAGAGAACACAGACACAGGCCAGGTGGGGCGGGGGGTTAATGATGGACGGTGACAGGTGTCGCCTGCGTGTCGTGGTTTATTTTTATCGCACTTGAAAAGCGAATCCACTCGCTCTATAAATTCGAAATGATGGCCAAGGCTAGACCGGCCATAAATCTGGCTCGGGGGGTGCCCTCTTCAGTTCTATCTTATCAGCAGGACTTCGAGTACGGCGGAATTTAAAATTATTTCAACACAGTTAAATTTCACCAATAATGAAATAAAACATACACTTCAAGGAAACGCACTTATGTATGTACAAACTGAAGGATTTTCACAGATTACGTACAGGCATCCTTCCACACACTTTCACAAAAAGATCCTCAATAGTCACAAAACTCACATAAAAAACCATTTGGAGAGGAAATTGGCCTTTAGCACCGGATTCGGCCTTCGTTGCTCATGTACGGCTTTCATTCTACATATAGTACATAAATATCACATAGATCCTTGACACAATTCACACTCTAATTCCGACGGAAGACATTCGCGTGCGGTGCTCGTGCCGCTCTGCTCGCCACTGAGTTCCTGCCCGCCCAGACATTTGATTTTTAACCAGCGCTGGCTCCGTGCTCGGGAATCATCGTTATAAATCAGTGATCCGCCTGGGGCCCGTCCTATCGGGGGGCACTGTTTTATCTTAATGCCCGGTGACAGCCACGCATCAGCGAGGCGGACGCAGCAACCGCCTGGCTAACATTTTGGCTAAGTGTGTTTTACTGTTGTTTACGAAACTTTTGACGGCACGACGGGAACCGGGGCATCCCGACTGCGAGAACAGGTGGTGTGGAGTGGAGCAGGGAATCCTCCAGCCCATTGACCACTTGTTCGGCTCTTGTATCTTATCACCATCATTAGCTACCATGTTGACTTATTCTGATTACACTTTTAACCAATTGACAATTTTAATTGGAGCTTCGGAAGGTTCATCCTTATCGATCCCCGCTACGTAATTCACCCGAAAGTAGTCGTATGAATCATTGCGATTTCGTAGTACAAGACTATTGCCTGTTCGCGATCACAGATACGCCCCGCCCCGACCCGTGCGACATAATTAACTGTTTGAGTGGCTTCATTAACAGTTCCATGTACGTAATTTTCAGGCACTTTATTGAGATTGGTGTTTGTACGTATCTATAAGTACGAATTTGTAATACATATACTATATTACATTGGCTACCTATAATTTGTAAAAGTACCTATTTAAACTCTTTTCTTTTGTCTTAGTTTGATTGAAGTTTGCTTTCGATTAGTGCACGCGGCGAATGCGAATTGCTTTATATTGGTTTGCCAATAGAACACATGGTGTACAAAACATACGGGTACATAGCACGGTTAATGTACAGTGGTACAGTAGTTACTACTAGTAAGTGGAACAGATACGATACATAGATAAATTCGTAGTAACAAGTAGTAACTTAACAAGGCTTACGGCTTACACTACACATATACATAGATGTATCTCCTAAGTACAAGGCAATAAGTAGTTCGATGACTTTAAGTACATACAACGTTTCTATGTACTTTAATACTTTCAGTTCTTATGCTATAATCCTTAAGCAGATTTTGTGCGTTTGTGTGTTTGGGTGATGATGAAGAACGAGAGCGGTTCAGTTACTCAGTCTGCTCTTGCAGAGCCAGTGTGATGTTCAGGTCGTCGGTGGCAGTGTCATCGCCAAGCAGCCGCTTGCTGTAGTTCTGCTCGGCCGACTGCTTCAAGGCAAATGCTGTGGCCGCTCCAGTGTTTTCCACAAGTTGGCGTAGATAGCCGCCTGGTCGCTGCAGCAGCTCGTAGGGATGTCCCAGTTCACGGGCCTCGCCCGCATCCATGACCAGGACACGATCGCTGTCCATAACAGTGTGCAAGCGATGGGCAATGGTCAGGACCGTGCAGTGGGCGAACTTTGACCGAATTGTCTGCTGGATAAGCTTGTCCGTTCTGTAAGCAAATGCATCATAAGAAGGTATTCGCTTTCGTATTTGTATTCGACTTACTCTGGATCAACATTGGCTGTGGCTTCGTCCATGATGAGAATTTTGTTGTGCCTCAATATGGCACGCGCCAGACATACCAACTGCCTCTGGCCCACGCTGAAGTTGGAGCCGCCGTCGTACATGCGACAGTTGAGGCCACCAATCAATGTGGATACGTAGGAGCGCAGCTCCACATCTCCCAGAGCCTTCCACATTTCCTCATCCGAGCGCTCATTCTTGGGATCGAGATTATAGCGCAATGTGCCCGAAAACAGAACTGGATCCTGGGGTATAATCGAAATGCGACTCCGCAGATCATGCAATCCCATGTGCTCGATGTCAATGTCGTCGATGCGGATCATGCCCTCATTGCAGGCCAAACGGAAGATCGACTGTATGATCGATGATTTGCCGGCGCCAGTGCGACCCACAATTCCAATCTTTTCGCGCGATTCGATGGTAAAGTTAAGATTCCTGAGGACTGTTTCCTCCTTAGGCGAGTATCGCAGCTTAAAGTTGATAAATTCAATGCGTCCCTTGCTGGGCCACTCTGTCTTTGGCTTGAACTTCTCCGCTGTCTCTAGCGGCGGCTCCGATGGCTGTTCTGTGTACTCCAGCACTCGCTCCACGCTGGTCATTTGGTTCTCCAGCTCGGCTGTCTGTCGCATGCCCCATTGGCACATTCCCGTCATCGTGGTGGAGTGCAAAATCGCTAGTCCCACATCTCCGCTGTCGAAGTCGTTGCGCAGCAGCAGGAAGCTGAAGGTCACCGCTGTCATGTAGGCGATGCACAGCAGATCCGACCACAGGGCAAAGGCCCGTGTGCACGACAGGAAGAGGAACCAGGCCGATGTGTTTGCGTTTTGGTATCCGTGAAACTCCGACTCCAAGGCGCTCTGTGCCTCCAACGCGCGAATGGTGGTAAGCCCTTGGAAAGTTTGATTTGCCAACGAAAAGACAGGACTACGAGCTGCAAATAACAACAGGATTAACTTCCCAACTCAAACAACTTGTTGCTGTGCGTTTGGCTTACATATGGACTCTAGTCGCTTGACACTGCGACTGGTATTCACATAGAGATAGCGAATCCCGCCCAGGATCACAACAAGGAAGAAAGCCGGCACCAGCAGCCAATAGTTGGCAATGGCCACAATGATCAGCACGCCGGAGACATCAATGACGAACGCCAAGCAGTCCAACAGCGTGTGCGGCAAGTCCGTATCCACTGTGCGTATATCCTTTGAGAATCGATTCAATATGCGGCCTGAAGAGTTTGTGTTGAAGAAGTACATCGTGGCGCGGGTGATGCCGCGGAACAGCCGGTCGTGCAGGTGCAGAGAGATGCGCAGGCACATCTTGAAGAACCCGAATGTGCGTATCAAGTAGACAATCAATGTTGCGCCCAGGATGATGGCATAGAAGAGGACAAGCTCCTGGCGTATGCCAGACTCAATACTGCCATTAAAAGTGCTTGTCGCCGAGTCCGTGGTATTGAGGGGCAGTGTATCATTTGCAGGCATCAGATCCATATCACTTAATAAGGTTGTCTCGGTGGCATTAGCCGCAATTTTCTCTTCCCAAATGACCCTGTGGAATGTTGGGATTAGTTTGGGTTTTGAGAACTTGCCACAAAGGAACTTACCATCGCGACAGGAAGTAATCTACACCGGTAAGCATGACTCTGGCGCAGACAAAAAGCGTCACAATCAGGCACAAGAGGAACGTACTTTCCAGTGCCTTCAAGTATGAGGCGTAGACGTGCATCTTCACGGAGCCCACTGACTGCTGTTCCTGGTTTAGCTCCTCCACTTGCTCGTCCGGCCGCAGGAGCGGTCGATTGTGCTGATGGTGTTCCAAACTCTTCTCCGAGTCGCTGCGGGAGACATAGCTGCTAACGCTGTGCGTGTCGATGCCGCTCTCGTCGTGCGTTTGCTCCAGGAACTGGAACTGACGTGAGCGCTGAAGCTCCTGATAGCTGCCCTGTGCCACAATCTTGCCCGATCCCATGAGCAGCAGGTGCTCCACATCGAACAAGTACTGCACTTGGTGGGTCACCAGAATGCGTATCTTGTTGGACAGAAAGTCGCGTATGCAGCGATCAAAGATGTGCTTGCCCACGTGAGTGTCCACAGCGGACAGGGGATCGTCAAGGAGGTAGATATCCGCCTTGCGGTAGACGGCACGGGCCAGACTTACTCTGGCCTTTTGTCCACCGCTGAGACTGACGCCCCGCTCGCCGACAACCGTCAGATCGCCCCTGGGCAGTAGCTCCATATCTCGCTCCAGGCCGCAGGCCTTTACAACCTTCTTGTATCGCCGTTCATTGTAGTCCTCCACGAAGACAATGTTATCGCGGATGGTCCCCTCAAAGACCCAGGGCTCCTGGGAGGCATATGAAACTTTTCCATGGACCAGAGCTTCGCCCTTGTCGATGCCCACTTCCCCGAGGAGCACGTTTAGGAAGCTCGATTTGCCAGCTCCCACGGGTCCGACAACCGCAGCAAGCGTTTGATCTTGTATTTCCGTACTGAAGTTCTCGATGGCGCAGCTGGGTTGCCCGTCGCTAGTGTCCCACGAGGCTGAAACATTCTTCAGAATCACGCATTTTTTCGTCGCTTCCGGATTGTAGTCCCTGAGACGGCTATGCTGCGGCACACCATTGGACAAAAGCGAGCCGTTCAGCTCTACATTCTGTTGGATGTCCGTCTTGGTGGGCGCTCGTTTGGTCTTTGTCTGTTGCTGATTGGCCTCTAGGTTTATGGGGACCTCGGCTCTATCCCCGTCCAGCAGGAATTCCTTGCAGCGTCGCGCCGAAACCAAGGCCTCGGCAATGAAGGTGATGGACAGCGGCCAGAAGTGAACCATCGAGTCGTTCAACATGTTGAAGTAGGAGGACACGGTGTACACCTTTTGAGCAGTTAAGGCATCTCCAAAGTAGACATAGGAGCAGAGAGCCAAGAACACAGACAGCGGCGATATCATGGATGTGCAGCCAAGGGCCGCGTGGATGTAGGCAGTGCCCCGAATGGCTTTCACCTCCTTCAGGCGTACCTCGGCCACCACGCGGGCGAAGCTCTTTTCCCAGGCATACATCTTGATCACCTGTATGCCCTGGATGATCTCGTTCATGAGCTTCACGCGCATATCTGTCCTCTCGGCGGTCATCTGTCGGTAATAGGCGGCTTTCTTGGCCGCCCACGCCTGCAGTGGGATAAAGCTGAGCATGAAGGACACGCCTATCACAGCGGATAGACCGATTTCGCGGTACATGAGGTACCCAATCAGCAGCGATTCCAGTGGCCCCTTCCACGTGTCGTGCAGGAAGCACAGAGCCACATCGAAGCGGCCCAGATCGTTGGAGAGTATGTTGATGGCCCTGGCGCGCAGTCCATCGTTGCTGCTGCTCTTCGATACCTGCAGGCACTTGCGATAGATGAGGCCGGAGAGGGCGAGACGCAGCTTTGTGCCCACTTGGAAGATGTAGAATATGAAGGGATGGAATGTTATCACAGGTACCAGCATGCAAATCACAATCCCCAGCGCGTACAGATAGGCGGTCTGTTCAGTGACCGTGGTCTGATTTGTGGCAAAGTAGCCCACCAGCCCACCAAGGAACAGGGGCATAAGTGATC